CTGTTTCTCTTTCTACCATGGCATGAAATAATTTGAAGCGATCAAACACTTAATCCTTACTCTTCAAACAATAAGCCCATACCTTTCGTGATGCATCATCAATGAATGTCACGAAATATCTGCTTCCTCCAAGTGGCTCCTCTTCAATGGGTCCGCATACATCAGAGTGTACAAGACTGAGTAACTCTGAATGGTTCTTCCTGGTAGAACTGAAGGAAACCCTGTGTTGTTTCCCGAATAGACAGTGCTCGCATGAATCTAGGGCAACACCTTTGCCCATGGAAATGACTTCCTTCTTTGCAAGAGTTGTCAATCCCTTCACGCTCAAGTGGCCTAGCCTCCGGTGCCACAAGGTTGGTGATATCTCTTCTTCAACAGCATTGAGACTCGGATGACACAACTATGCATGAGTTTTATAAAAAGTACCACAAATATGGCCTCTTGCAACAACCAAGGAACCTTTAGATAACTTCCATGTACCTTCTTTGAATCTGTTAAGATATCCTTGCTGATCCAGAGCTGTACCGGAGATAAGATTCAATCTAAGATCCGGAACGTGTCAAACATCTTTCAACACAAGTGCGCATCCGACATTGGTTGTTATGTGCACATCACCAATGCCAACAATCTTTGAGAAACTGGTGTTTCCCATCTTCACAGCTCCAAAGTCTCCGGACTTATAAGATGTGAATAAGTTCTGGTGTGGAGTGGCGTGAAATGATGCGGCTGTATCAATCACCCACTCAACATCATGAGTACCTATGTGTAAACATTCTTGTTCACCATGTGCAACAAGACACACGTCTGATGACAAACTAACCATGGTCTCACCATCTTCGTGGCTAGTATTTTGACTCGTCTGTGGCTGCTCTCGTAGAAACTTTCTACAATCTCTTTTTCTGTGCCCATAATTACTACAGTAATTGCAATATCCTTCAAACCAAGTACTGTTTTCAAAGGACATACCTCTCTCTTGTGATCTGCCGCGAACTCGAGAATTTCCTCTGTTTTGACCTTGGCCTCTACCTCGACCTCGACTTCTTCCTCCATTTCTGCCTCCCCCTCGTCTGCTGGTTTCTGACACGAAGGCATATGATTGTTCAGTCCCGGCTTCTTTTCTTCGGGCTTCTTCGTTCATAAGGGCATCTGTGACCATCTGCATAGTCACTTTGCCATTGGGAGCAGAATTGCTGAGATTGACAACAAGAGTCTCCCAGGTGTCAGGTAGAGAGCTCAAGAGTAGTATCGCCTGCTCTTCATCTTTGAGAATCCATCCGGTGGTGCTCAACTGATTCACAAGATCCTGGAATTGACTGGTGTGTTCTGACACCGAAATACCTCCTCGTAACTTGTGGTTTACTAATCTCCTCATTAGTAATGTCTTATTTCGGGCGGTTTTTGCTTGATACATGCTACCAAACTTCTCCCATAGTGTGTAAGCACTTTGTTCTTGCGCAACATGGTGGAACACACTATGATCGATCCACTGCCGAATTTGTGCGACAGTTTTTCTATTCATTTTTGTCCATTCTTCATCCGTCTTTTTATCCAGTTTCACACCATTATTATCAAGAGGATCAGCTAAATCCCTCAAATTTAACAAATCCTCCATCCGAGGCTTCCACATATTGTAATTTGTGGAAGTGAGCGCAATCATGGTGTCCGATGATGATTTATCCATAATAAAACGCTCAAAATATCTCGTACCTTATTTTCGGAGCTGAATTTGGACAAACGGAGCTCACCGTTGGATCAGGAATGGCCGAAAATGGTAGGAACCGGTCTGACCTCGTCCAAAACCGGTCTGGAAATGGGTGAACCGGCCTCCACAACTTCGAACCGGTTCGGTCCGGTTCAAGCAGCAAACCAGTGGGCAGACCAGAAGGCGGATGACGTGGCAACAGCTGGCTCTGCGCTGACGCTGACGTGGCGCCACGTGTCACTGATGTGGCGCTGACGTGGCACCCAGAGGATGGCTTGCGCGGATGACGTGGCGGATGACGTGGCGCTTACGTGGACTGACGTGGCGGCTGACGTGGCTCGTCTTCTTCCTCTGGACTGCGTGATGACGCAATGATGACGCAGGCAGTTTTCCGGCGCGTTTGGGCGGCGCGTACGGCCTCTTCCGGTGGCCAAAAAATTCCCCAAAAATACTAGATTTCTCGTCTCGACGAGACAAATCTAACGGTATGATCAGATCGTGATTCCGAGCAACTTGAAAAATCACGATTTTCTAACCTGTAGAAATTTATCTGAAAATGAGAAAACAGTGTATGAAAACTCAACCTCGCTCTGATACCACTTGTTGGGATTGGAAAATTCTTCTATTCAATATCAAGAACAGAATTACAATAGGAGGAGCAAACTCTCACACTCAACTATTACAAAAAACCAATCCTCACCAATACACTTCTACTCTAAGTGTATTTCACTCTTCACACACTTTTCTCACTTTCTAAACTGATACAAATGAACAACAATACACTCTCTATTTATAGGTGTATATGGGAGACATGAGGAAGTTGCATCCAAGCTTCCATTCCCATTGCTATGGAGTTTCCTAGCTATCTCCAATAAATCTCTTCCCATGTTCATTTGTTGGATAGCTCCTTCCTAGAAGGTGTGAGATGTCTCTTGGCAACTTCCAAGAAAGAAGGTGGAAGATACCTACAAATTTTACAGTTTCTTTTTGCATTTGTATGCAGCTTTTCTACTTTTCTTAGGTTGTGTGCATTTTTGGGTTGTTAGTTACTTCCGCAGATTTTTCCTAAGATTGGGAATAGTTTATGCATTATTTATAGGCTGCATTGAGACATATTTTTTTGCATTTCTATGAACTTAGTTCTCCGATTTTTTCCCCAAATTTCATAGCAGTTTTTTTCCTACATCGCTTAGTTCTCCGACCCTATAAATTGGAGAACTAAGCGATGTAGGAAAAAAACTGCTATGAAATTTGGGGAAAAAAATCGGAGAACTAAGCGATGTAGGAAAAAAACAGCTATGAAATTTGGGGAAAAAATGCATTGGGATATAATACGTTACAAAATAATACGTTACAAAATAATGTTCATTGGGATATTACAATTTCATGACTGAAAAAAAATTGAAGAGCACAAAGAAAAATAAAAAAAAATTGTTTAAGCTACTTAGTACATAAAAGCAAACAACCGGTTAAGAGAAAGTAAACAAACAAATAACTCATAAAATGAAAAAAGAATCCCTGACTAAAAGTGAAACAAGTGCAAGGCTATAACTCATAAAAATGATAAAGGCATAATAAATAAACAAATATACTCAAAAGGAAGGAATCAAACGGTAGTGCCTAAAATTTTGGAAGGTAATTAATACGTGTATGAAATGGCATAATAGCCCCCTCGACAGATTATTAGCATGGGAGAATTAGTAGATGATCTAATGGTCTATATTTATTCTCACTTCTCTCCTAAGATGATTTTCTCACTTGAACCTTAATATATATAGGGAAGAGATCAGGTAAAAACACCTTCTTACATGAAAAATGAGAAATGATTGTGAACGCTCAAATGAGGGAATCGTACGTCAGACAAAAAATCTTCATTGGTGATACGGTGCACTGAATGGCATTAGTTTCTTTGTGAACTTTTATGAATATTTAGGTTATTAAATTATAGATATGATGATGTATGATTTTCTGGAATTTATGAATGTGTGACTTTTTGTGAATTTACCAAATCCGTTTAATATGGCAAAAATTGTGATTTTTGAGGAATTGTCCTTTGAATTAGAAAATTGTGGTGATTGTTTTGGCATGAGTTGAAGTATGATTTGAGATTATTATAATTAGTTATTGTGAAAGTATATTATGGATTTATAATATCCCAATTGGATTATTTTGGTGGTGGTAGTAAATGCTACTTTTGGAAAGTGGTGGTTTGAGTTAAACCCTATTTTTGGAAAGTATTGTGAGACCAAATCTTTTGGGACAAATTATATTCTTTTAAATGTATGATTTGGTGTGAATGTTTATATATATTCTGAAGTTATAAATATCCTTATTGGGTTATTTTGACTATGGTATTAAATACTATTTTGGAACTAGTTTTGGTTAAACCCTAATTTGTGAACTTTGACTTTGAATCGGAGATGTTTGGCATATGATTTTGAGACATGAATCTGAAATAAATATTATGAGAAGGTATTTTGAGGTTAAGTGATATGTGAGTATTCTATGAACTAGATGTTCATGATGATAATCGGGTAATCTATGAACTACATGTTCATAACGACAAGTGGAGCAATATATGAACTACATTGGTGGTGGTGGTGGTAAATGCTATTTTTGTAAAGTGGGGTATCAAATCTTTTGCCAAATTGTAATGAACGATTTCTGGATATTTTGAGCACCTGGGAGTAATCTGTGGTGTTCGGCTCTACATCCGGTTAAATGTAGAACTGTGGTCTGGGGTAGTGCTACTATTATCTGGTGGATGGTTTCTTTGGTGGTTTTAGATACTTGGATATTATTATTATTATTGGTTTCGGATTTTGTGGTAGTAGTAGCACCTAGACCATTTTTATCTTTTTCTTGGGTAGTCGGTAGAGACTTAGCTGGTCTCGACTACTTGGACTTCTTACTACTCGGAGGGTTTGGAATCCCTTTTTAGAGGGTGTACACACTTAAGTTAGAAGTTCAGTTTCCAATTGGTGGGTGGTGGGGTCCGGGTTGATCGGACGGTTCATAGGTGACCTTAGTAGCTTGTGCAACCGTTCAGGAGACCTGGGGTGATGCGTGGTAGTTGGTGACCACGTATTCGCTTGGTTCGGGTTCTCTTTTTGGGAGCTCCCCCATCCTTAAAAGAATCTAGAAACAATTAGGGGATATGAGTTTTGGGCATTTTCTGCTCGCGCATCGCGCGTCATATAACTAGTATATATATATATATATATATATATATATATATATATATATATATATATATATATATGTAGAGTGGTCTTCTTGTCAGGCCGGCCTGACGGGATGCTCCGTCCGACCGAGCCCGTTTGGGCATCTTCCCGGTCTAGTAACTAAAATAGAAGTGAATTGGCCGGCCGACCGATTGGGCCAATTCGCGAACGAAACAAAACAGGCAATCAAACAGACAGACCAATTCCCATTTTCGAATCGCCAATCCGCCATTCGCAAATCGCAATTCGAAAGCCGGAAGCACCAGCCACCAAGAAGCAGCGCGACGCCGCCACACCGGCAGCTGTCACTCCGTCCGTCAGACTCCCGCGACATCGGCTAGTAAGTCATCTTCTTCCTCTCGTTTCTTCTTCCCTCAAGCGTATCTTCCCCTCTCTCCTTTCTTCTTCTCACCCCTCTCTTAGTCGTCGAATACGACCCATTGATGAAACTATTACAGAAGTAAATTTTATTTTAAGATTTAAAACGATGCCTGTCCATATGGGTAAAAATAATATTTCCAAGGAACCGTTGTGTCAAGGGTATTTTATTAATCAAGCCCTGTTTAGGTACACACTATTTATCTTTTTCAAGATTCTAAGATGTTTAGTGAGTGTCTTAGTCCATGTGTGATTAGTAAGTCTCTTGTCAAATTGGTCATTATTGTGATGCGTTTTTACTTTGCTGTTTTCTTTTTCATTAAGATTCCCCCCCCCCCCCCCCCCCCCCCTCTTGTGAGTGTTTCAAACTAATTACGAATCTTATTGGTTGATGATAGCATGTATTACATGATTGTAGACTAGTTCTATAACTACTGTGTTTTCTGCATCTTATTACTTGAGGCCTGTTTAGGTATACACTACTTATCTGTTTCAAGATTCTAATAAAATAAATAATATAGTTTTTGTATTAAGATTTCATTAGCGTATTTAGATATTAAGTTATTGAATAGCTTGAAATAAATAAACTTTGAATAGCTCTAACCCCTTCATGATCTATGTGCAATTTTCTTGAAAACTTAGAATGTTTATGACTTTTGCTACTCCATCTTATAGTTTACATTATGTCACTGTTTTTCAGGTTCAGTTCCTAATTAGAGAAATGGAAGAAAAATGGGCCGCATTCGACGCGGCAATTCGTCCATATTTGGTTGACATTGAGCAAGCTCATTCGTAAAATCTTTTGCCCCTTTCGTGCGTCCTTATCAATCTCCTATATTCAATGGCTCACATCATCTTTAAATTGAGTTTTGCAGCGACGTTACGTGGTGTAATTTCAATAAAGCAGCATCTGTTTCCCGGTCTGTTCTAGAGCGCTTGATAGAAAGAATTCGGTCTAACGATAGCATACTTAAATGTGTGGGGAGTGATTCTGAACTGGAAGGTTTGTTGGGTAATGCTGGATTGATCTTTATTCAGTCCTTGGATGAACTTGGAAGGTACCTCCGATTCATAATCCAACATTCTACAGTAGATTATTCTTTTCCACTTGATAGACTAGAAATGTTGGTAGCATCTCAAAATTTGATTTGTAAACATAAAAGTGAAACTGTTCAGGCTTTGGTGTGGGTCAATATGAATTTGTTTTTGGTTTGTTTGCAGGACATCGGAAATATTGAACGAACTCAAAGTCTTGTTTGGCTCAGTGACTGCCATACCTGCTCAACTCATCATTACTTGGTACCTTTATTATATCAACTCTTCTCATCAATTATCCAGTTTATATGTTATTGCCAATTACCGAATTTTTAATTTAGTATGAAGTCATTATTTGGCCTGTGAAATGGCTTGTAGAAAACATGCCTGGCCCTGGCCAAGTGCAAACGGTGCAATTGAACACGGGCCCATCTTTAAGGAGGGCCCCCTATTCTTGCTATCACATATATTAGGCCTTAGGGAAAATAAAATTTTATTAGTGTTGCGTTAGTCCTTTGGAGCATGGATCTGATTTTAAATAAATCGAAACACAATCTTCTGGAATTCAATCAGTCCGAAAGGTTCCCACGAATGAGGAGGTGGATTCACCTCCTTGGAGGTACGAGGAAGCTTCCAGGGTTATCTTGATTTTTTTCTAAGAGTTTGAGCCTTTAAAGCTTCTTTTCAGTTACTTTCTTTTAATTTCTGACGATATTCAAGAGCTCAAAGCCTTAGGCAGAGGTGGGATTGCAGGAGGCCGAAGTTCAGAAGGGCAGTGCAGAGGGAACTTCTCAATTCCTTCTGAGATTGCTTCCCCTGCCTTTTACTTTGATTCATTTTGTTATATTTTTATTGTTACACGGAATATGAGTGCAACTATATTTTAGTATCATTATGAATGCAAATACGGAATATAAAATTACTGTTGTTAATATTACATTTTATATTTTAGGGCCTCCAACATAGTTTTGAACAGGGCCTCAAATATGTCAGGACCGGCCCTGGCAGAAAATAGAATTACAAAATTTTCTTAAAATATGAACTCTGTTCTCTACCTATTTACGGAACAAATTTAGTTCAAAATAAGACATATCTACCCCGCTTACCTTAGTATACGTATTGGATACACACATTTTCTTTGAAGTCTTTAAAGTTTGAATGTGTTTTATAGAAGCTAACGTTGAACCATCTTTGACAGGTCATCTTTCCCAATGTCTGACGGCCTTTCTTCTCATTTCCTAGAAGCTGTTGAAGAATATCTCAATAGCTGGCAATACATGGAGGAACCTTATGATCATTATGCTTGTGAAATTGCTCATGGAGGGGGCTTCGGTATGAAGAATGAGCTGGCAGTTAATGATTATCTAGACGTTGCGGAGATCTATGCCATAGCTTTTCTGGGAAGGACACTGAAGAATTTTGATCTCGCCCTCTCATGGGTCGAGAAAGCTAGTTTGCCCGAGGAGAATCGTCAGGTTAATGTTTCTTTCATATTCTATTTTGACATTTCTTTTGGAATTTTAGTTGGCCATTTTCAGTGATACTACTGAACAAACGTTTTGAAGACATTGATGAAAGAAAATTTACCAAGTCTGGGAATTTTGGACTGTAGTTTTCCAATACATTTTTTTGCCTCGTTACCAAGTGTACTTTCCCGCTTGAATGAAGATCTCTTGATGTCCATACTAAGTTTGAAAACGTTATTGCTTGAGATTTGTTTCCAATGTCTGTGCTTATTTCTAACGGATGCAATATAAATAAATGTAGTCTGGCACATGTTTGGTTGTTGTAGCTGCTTTGAATTCTTATTGCACTTGATAACATTCCATTGGTATTTCCTGTCATATATGGAGCATGAAGTTCTTCAACAATGTTGGCATAATGTCCAACATCTAAATGCAATATATCATTGGTATCTATTTTTTTAATCGTTCAAAATTCAGTAACTTGTGTGAAATAATGCTCTGTTGTATGCACCCTATAAAGTTTACCTTCATATTCTTGCTCTGTACATTTCCCCTAGAATTCAACAAAACTCTTGAGCATTTGATTTGTCTTTCCACACAATATCTATTGCCATCAATGTCCTGCCAGACAGTAGTCTTATAATCGACTTTTATGATAGTGTACATCATGTAGCTCTCTCACCATTTGTTAAAGTATCTGTTATTTCATTTTACAGTGTAGCATTTTTAAAAATGTGTATGCATAGTTGACTGACTATTCCTATATGGTTTTTTTCTAGGATCTGTTGAGGCAATTGTACTCAATGAACTCCTCTGAACCCGTGACTGAAATAGATGAACATCTGACTGAATCTTCTTCCATAGAGGACCATAAAACCAGTTCTTCAAACAATCAGGAGAAAAATTTAAAACAAGCGCTCGTTGAATTGTTCAAAAAGAGAGCACCTTTTTGCTGGTTCCGCAGCATAAGATTGAAGTTTGGGAATCCTGGATTTGTCATATCAAATGGAAAATTTTTTTTATGCTGTGCAGCTCTCGTCATATTTCATTTCATCAGGAAGTCAAATCTGAAGAGGTAAGGCATATCCAACTGCCAATACCTGTTTTTCCAAAGATTGGTTACTATTTTAATTTTCTTTTGCTCAACTTATCTACTTAGGGGTTGATATAGGAATTTATGTTGGATTGAGCTGAAAAATGGGTGATTTGTTTTGGTAAAATAAAAGGTTGCCCGGGACTAGACTATAAAATGGGTGATTTGTTTTGGTGCAAGTTGAATATAGCTTGAGTCTTGAGACCCATTGATGAAACTATTAGAGAAATAAGATTTAAAATGATGCCTGTCCATATGGGTAAAAATAATATTTCCGAGGATCTGTTGTGTTAAAGGCATTTTATTAATCAAGGCCTGTTTAGGTATACACTACTTATCTTTTTCAAGATTCTGAGATTTTTATTGAGTGTCTTAATCCATGTGTGATCCTTAAGTGCCAGTTGATGTGAAACAGGGGATTAGTAGCCTCTTGTCAAATTGGTCAAACAAGGGATTAGTAGCCTCTTGTCAAATTGGTCAAACAAGGGAGTAATAATAATTTTTTTTCTGAAAAATTAAAAAAATGGCATTTTTTACACTGGTCGGAGGTGGTGGTGCAAGGAGGGAGGTAGTACAGGCGGTGGGAAGGCATCCATATTTTTTTTGATTTTTTTATCAAGTTGTTATTAATTTTTAAAAAAATTATTATTGATTTGTTATTTTCTAAATAATTTATTGCACAGTATTTTTTTACTTATTTCTCAACGATTTTTTGATTTTTTTCGAATTTATTATGAATTAAACATTTAATTATGACTTTTGACTATCTTTTACTCATATTTAAAGCATGGGTAAGAATAGAATGAAAAAATAGGAATGTTTCCAATAGGACTAATATGGTCCTATTTTGGAATAAAAACATAGCAAGTCCTATTTTGAGTTTTTGCCATAGTTTTAGTCCTATTTGGAGTAATTTCTATTGCTTCTACCAAATTTTTGTATAGATATGCTACATAATTCCTTATTAAGTTACCAATTTAAATAATTGTAAACAACACATTTTTCTACCATCACGTAGTTTGAATATATATATACAGGCTCAGAAGATGTGTGAGGAGTTGGAAGGTGTCGGTTAAGGCATATTTACAGGGAAATTAATTCAGCAGCTCATGCTTTGGCTTGGTAATATTCATTCAGTGACCTTATTTTTTATTTTATTTTTTGCAACAGAGCTTAAATTTTTAACAACATGCTCAGCCCTTCTGGCTAATTCATTTTTCATGTAAAAATATTTAAAGCTTTCATATAACGTAAATGGGAATAGATTACTTCTTCTCAGAAAAAATATTTTCTTACATAAGGCAACTTAAGTTGAAACTTTAACATGCATAGATTTGAAGCTTTAGATGATTTTTTTGCTAGCATGTCATTTTTGTTCGGGAGTTCTCCATGGTTGTTATCCCTTCTGACTAATTCATTTTTCATGTAAGAATATTTAAAGCTTCCACATACTGTAAATGGGAATAGATTACTCCTCCTCAGAAAAAATCAAACCAAAAACAAAAAATAGTTATTTGGTAAAAACTTTGCAACCCTTGATCTAATAACTTTGAAAAAATAACTTGTGAATGGATTTTATGTTATACGTAGACATGTAGTATAAGTTTATAAGATTTTAATTTCACTGCCTCTATGGGACTATACGCTCCAGCTGATTAGAATGCATTTCTGTACTGATATTCCTGGTTGTTTTATGATTGCAGCACAGTCTCTAAAGAAGTACATGCTTTTGTGAGTGCCTATATCTAACACCCTGGATAGCTAAATCAAGGAATTGACTGACCGAGCCTGATTTGCATTAAAGAACTTTGTTTCTTTCATATATTGAGTTGATCTAACATTAGTAAAAATACACTTCCTGAGAGCATGTATGGTTGCATCTCAGTCATATGGATGTAAATAATGGCTACGCAACTATAATACATTACTAATGTGACCATTTTTGTTTCGATTGTTTACTTTTCTATCTGAAGGGGTGAAATTGCATTCTGTTTTTACTATGTTCACTTTTTTAAAACTATTAAATGTATGCAGGGACCCAGGCCGGGCCTAGGACCAGTCGGGCTTTTGAGGTTTGGGGGAAGGCCCGGAACCGGCCCGGGTTGCCACAGGGTACGGGCCGGGCCGGGCCTTGGGCTTGTTAGTTTTTTTTTTTTTGCTTTTCTACTTAACCCCCCACTCACCCCCACCCCCAAAACACCTCAAAACAGTGCCGGGCCGGTCCGATTCCGGGTCGGGCCACCCGGCCTGAGTCCATGTCTTATTAAATGTTATGAAAACTGTTCAAAATTTCATGTGAAATAGACGGGAATCTGATTAAAAAAAAGTTCGACACATTTTAAAATTGTTTATATTCACCTTTTTAAAAAATCAAAAAATCACTAAAATAAAAAAAATGATGATTACACCATCTCAAGGGCGGGCATGATTGACTGGACAATATTTGCTACACCATTTAAACATTTTAGGGAATCCTTCACAATTCACAAATAAGCTTAAATGTAAAATTAATATTAGGTTTTTCACTTTTTAAAATTTCCTATACTTCATCCGTCCCTTATAACTTTGCCAACTTTCCTTTTTTAGACGTCCCATTAACTTTGTCACTTTCTCTTTTAAGTAAAGAATTTGTGGATCCAATTAATTCTCTCTCCTCTGCACAAACCTCAACCACACAGTTTTTACTTTATTAATCCCCGTGCCGGTCAAACTTGGCAAAGTTATTAGGGACGGAGGGAGTAGAAATATACTAGTTAATCTTTTCTTTTCGTAAATGGACCATAGCCCGTAGGTATAAAAAACACACATTAGATCGTCTCATATCAAATTTGTTAAAGCTTTTGTGTGGTTTTAAATCATTCTTTATTTATTCTAAATCTATTTTTCTTATTAAACGTGTCACTTTCTTATGTCTCAATGCTAGCTGGGTGCAGGTGGTGATGTTTAAGAAAAAATCTACTCCATATTACATAAACATCTAATAAAAAGATATAATAATATAAAATAGAGATTATATATATATATACACACACACACACACACACACTCCCTCCATATTTTAAAGTTTCATACACTTTACCTTTTTGATAAGTTTTTCCTTTAAAAATACTCAATTATCCTTACATTTTCTACTTTTTATCCTCTCTTTCCTACGTTTTCACCTTTCTCTCCTACTTTATCTATACTATCATTATCCCTATTATTCTCCCTTAATTTTTGTGTCATAACCTAATGTATGGATCATTTAAATAGGGAGGGAGTGTGTGTGTGTGTGTATATATATATATATATAGGGTGCGGTTCCAGTGAGAACGATGCTTAACGTGAGAACTTGAGAACACTCACAATTAACCCAGCGTGAAACACAATTGAGCCCGTCAGGTGCACATTTGGGTTTAGCTCAAAATAAGCCTATGTAAATAATGACGGTGGCATTTTAGTAAATACTGTGCCGAACGCGAAAATGTGCATTGGGCGAGCCTCATTGTGCATCACATTTGGGTAAATGTGGTGTTCTCACGTTCTCACGTTAAGGGTTGTTCTCATTTGATCCTAAATCTATATATATATATATATATATATATATATATATATATATATATATATATATAGACTTTGGATCAAATAAAAAGTGGTTCCTAGATGAAAAATAAGAACTAATCTTGGCCTTTGATGTGAAAAAATGGATGGAAGAGATCAAATTTTAAGTTGGAAACGCGGTGGCATTTTGGTAATTATGATGATCTTTGAATGAAATTATTGTAACAAATGTGTACGAGGAATTTCAAAAAGTGCAAATGTAGAGCCAAAAGGTGCATTACGGTACATAATAAAATCTGCACAAATTAAAAGCAAATTAACAATCTTTTTATCACTTATGAGTACACTTTTGTTCATTATCTATCCACTTTATATTATAAATGTTTGCACTTTTTTGACAACGTGTATTGTTATTAAATTTCATCTAGTCCATCCATTTGCAAGTGATTAAAGGCCAAGATTTGTTCTCACTTTTCATGGGAAGACTACTTTTTACTTGAACTCATCCCTATATATATATATATATATATATATATATATATTGGATCATATAAAAACACTCAATCCCATGAAAAGTAAGAAGTAATCTCAACCATATGATTCCTTACTAATGAAAAATTACGGTCCTAATTTCAAGACATACGTAGGGGGTATTATTGACTTTCCCAACTACAACTTTCTACTTTCCACATTTCCGTCTCGGTAAAGTACATTTAATTGGAAGCATAATTACTAACTTTTTGTATGCAGCTTTTCTACTTTTCTTAGGTTGTGTGCATTTTTGGGTTGTTAGTTACTTCCGCAGATTTTTCCTAAGACTGGGAATAGTTTATGCATTATTTATAGGCTGCATTGAGACATATTTTTTTGCATTTCTATGAACTTAGTTCTCCGATTTTTTCCCCATATTGTAGTTAAACATTTATCACAATAGATACTAACTACATTTTTTTGTAAATATAGATATTAACAGAATTTAAAGCACTAAATTATATATATTATTATATATAGAGATGTAAAGAATCATCGCAAACAATTTGTTTTGGTAAATGGTATGATAATACACTTTGAATAAAATAAGACAACGATCTAAAAAAGAAATTGAATGAAAATGAATCTGATCGCTAACAATTGTGGATGATGTGAAACAAAATTGTGCATTATCATGAATCACAAAGTGAAACTACAATTTTTAAATCAGGTAAGAATTGAACTATGCATTATCTTAAGCATAACTGTGCAACGTCATTAATCAAGATGTGCATTGTTTTAGATCACTCTCATTTGTCACGTGAAAACTCATTCCCGCCAAAATCATACCCTAAGCAATCATAAGTGTATTTGACATGTTAAATGTTGAGTACACTTTTAAATTTGCACTATAAAAATAATAAAAGTGCACGAAAAAATTGGAAATGAACAATATTTATAAAAGTGCATTGTGATAACAAAAAAGTTGCACAAACCAAAATAAATAATAAACTATACTATTTATATAATATGGTGGATAATAATACAATGTAATATATGTATACTAAGAAATAAAATAGCAATTCAAATAGAGAAATAAAAATGAATCCGTGCGGTTGGATTTCAGAATTGTGCATGGTGTGATATAGAAATGTGCACCACCATCAATAACTAAATGAGGTTAAGTTTATTTTAAATAAGTTGAATATTTTCTATCAATTTAAAATGTGCATTATTTTAACCATGTAGTGCAACATATTTAATTATAATAAAGTGCATCATTTTGAATCATTTTAATTTGTCAAGTGAAGAACGTTTCCCACCAAAATCATACTTTAACTAAGCATAGGGTATTCAATATTATAAATATAGAGTGCTTTTAAAGTTGCAATATAAAAATAATACAAGTGCACTTTTAAAATATTTATCAAAGTGCAGTGTGATGGTAAAAAGTTGCATAAATAATAAACTATAGGATATATAATATGGTAAACGATAAAGGAAATCTATGTAGAATATATCAAAACCTTGAAATTTATTTCAACTTTCCATAGTTACACAACCGACTTTTAAGGAAAGCTCGAGAAATGTTATTGGTAGATCCGTAGATACGTACTCATGGTTAATTTAAGTTAATGTGATAACGTTCCGTTAGTGGCTTGAGATATTGCAAATTTTCGTTTATGCCACCGTTTTACTTATGGTTTAATACCATTGATATGAGATTTTAGATGATCATGATTTGTTCTTATTTCTCTCCTAAGCAATCATTCTCACTCGAACCTTCCCCTATATATATATATATATATATATATATATATATATATATATATATAGGGGAGGGTTCATGTGAGAATGGAGGCTTAGGAGAGAAATGAGAACTAATCTAAATCATTAAAAATTGAAATCGAACGATGCAAAGCCGGGAGAATAAGTAATGGCAGATTTGTAAATATCACAAAACACTAGTCATTTATTAACTACAATAAAAGTAGCGTTATTAATAAGGGTGTATTGGTAAAAGCCATCTAAAATCCTACGGGTTTCGCATGTGTAGTGAATTCAAAAGTCCGGAAAAAATCTAAGATATATATAACTCATAAAATCACATAAAGCTGGAAATTTTAATTTACATTAAAATCTAAGAGTTTACTCATAAACTCTTTGTGTGCATCGTGATTCATAGTAAACTATAAAAATAGCAACTATTGAAATTGTGCAAACACTTTCGTATAAGAGTGCAAGATTTTAACTGTATACAAATATTTACAAATCCGATATTATTGTACTCCGTATAAACTATTACGCAATCGTCCAAGTCTGAATCCCCAACTTCAATTCCGTGCTATTTATCTTTTACTTTCGTTCTACTTTTAATTATAAATGCAATTGATAACTGCATCACTTTTATATAAGAGTGCAAGATTTTCGCATTGGGAGTGCAAAATAAATCAGCCGTTTCAATTGACCAATATAAATCATTTGAAAATTTGAGAATATTGACCAATTATCATCATGCGACAATTATTAATTAGTTGCACTTTTATTTGAAACATTTTGCAATATCAATTTAATTAAATAATCAGAGAGTTTTGCATTCTAAAGAGAAATCACATGTTTATTAAGTAAATTTGCAATGTTGTAAACCGCACTTTGATGTCAGTAGTTTGCACCTTCTATAGCATTAATCTACACTTCACAAATTTAGTTGTGCACATCCATGCATGTCTTAAGAAACCAACATAAAAATACAAAGGTGTAAACTATCAACTATCACGTGCATCTAAAATATTACAAACGTGCACTATATTATCACATTTTCTTAAATTCTACATTGGCACTATTTTAGAAAATAAAATGCACTTTTATCATATGCATTTAAATGTACATAAAAGTGCACTAGTATACCACACTATTCTAAAATTTTACATTCATACTTTGTACATAATGGAACACATTTTTCTTCCGAAACCATCATAATTTC